TTCATTTATTATTTAAATAATTTTAATTGTGATATGTAATTTATGTATACATATTATAATGTATTGATGCCAATTTACTTGTCTAGTCGTAAATTTTTTGTCTTAAAATTTGTTATATGAATGGGAAACTCAGGTTTAATATCGTAATTGTTACTTAGCATTTACGATATATGCTAATATATAATATAAAAATAATAATATGTAAGTTTTGTAAAATTATGTAAATAAACGCTGGTTAAGGTTGTCTTTGGGGTCTAGTGATATACATATGTATCAGTATGTAGTTTTTATCATTATATGTCTTTGTACAATGAATATTCAATTTTATTAATAAAATTTTATTAATAAAATTAATATAAAATATTCATTTCATCCAAATTCTCTTTATTTACAAATGATATGCAAGAAAAATCAATGTGTCGCTTATGACACATTTCTCGATTATGATTCAATGGCTGGAGTGAGTACTCAGGAGTCTTAAAATCTTTGTTTAGAATTAAATAATTACAAATTATTAATTATTCATAAAAATATTCACAATGAAATAAAAGCACATAATTTGTTAGCAAAATTATAATTTATTGTCTCATTTTCTTTGAAGAATTTTATGTAACAATAGACTACATATATATATTATGGTAGATACTTTCAGTATGATTTTATAATACAGGGTGGAGCAATATTAGCTATTACCATACCTGAAACATTGCTCTTAATTGAGGTGTTCTAATTAGGATGCCACTGGCATTATTCACATCCAAACGTCGCAGTCGCGTAAAAAAGGCATTTCAGACCGGAATATTTGTTATTGCACCCTGTACAAATAATGCAATATACATACATATTACATTATTATGTAACTAATAACGTTTGCATGAACATCAAAAAGCGTTCATTCGATGTCGATGTAAGATTAAGATGTGTTAGAATATAATTATACAAGTATATGCATCGGTTTTTTTCTGTACATGATCATTTACAATGTGTTATAATAGAATCATAGCGAATGTAGAAAATTCCACAAGAGCTATGATATATTATTTCGGTATTCCATTCTTCAAATAATATCTAAAGGCAATATCTCGTTTAATGACATTCTTTTTTCATTATTCGCTTTCATTATTTTTCATTATATAAAATAATTTTAGTTTATTAATCGAATTACGTATCGTAAGGAATACATTAACGAAACATTAAATGTCGGCAATGCACATATTGCAGTACGTATGTTATGCTGTGTTCTATTTGAATCAATCCAATTACATTTTTCCGAAATTATTAGTAATATATAAAAAAAGTTTCTAATAAGAGTGGAATGATTTCAAGGAGAACATATTTTGGTTACGATTTTTTCTTCGATGGAGACATCAAAATTAAGGATATGAAGGTCATCTTCACTTCACATTCTCATAGAAGAAAAAAAAATGTGACCAAAATGCCGTCGAGGCTGTTCCATTTTCATCTGAAATCATCTTTTTATGTCATCAATAATTTCGGAGAAAATTAACTAGATTAAACTGGGATACTCTATACGAAGATCATTGAAAAGTATAATTGTATAAATTAGATGATACTTTTTGACGGAATGAATAGAATCACATGGAAAAGTAAAAAGTAGAAAAATGACAGACTCATAAAAATGTATTGAACACGGATACACTGCAGAGAAAACGTATTTAATTGAAAGTTAATTATGCAGCAAGCTATACTGATATATTAAAACATTCCGTCTCTGTAAGTATATCTAATATAATTCAATGATTTAAAAAGATTAAAATCAATTGTTTTAATCGTTGAGAACAATAAAATGTTATTTTATATAGTAAATATTGCACTTTAACTGATATTTGGAAAATTATAATCTATAAATTAATATATTCTGTAGATAGAGATGATATAACTTGATGGTCGAACAATTATTATCAAATTATATATAAATTGTACGTTTTACTTTCATAAAGTCTCAAATATAAAGAATATTAGAGAACGCTTACTGTTTACTTTATACGCGAGTTTTCCATAATCTATTCGATATAAATTTTATATATGTAGCAACACACATTTTTTACTTACGCCATCCTTATCCCTATTACTATTCTCTCGTATGTAACTTTCTTCGTTTACATATCACGCAGTCTGATTAAATTTTTTTAATAAAAAAAACGTACATTCGATGATACTGTTCAATTACTTATTCATTTATCCTTGATTATTCGGCTGTTATTCCCTTGCATTAAAAATCACATTTAAGCACCTACATGCGTATATTATATGGTAAATGATAAGTATTCATCATGGTATGAGTGCAATCTGGATTTGCAGAATCAATCAAGTTCATCAATCCTCTATATTTGATTGTTGATGTATGTATTTTGTTTCAAAGTTCTCGTTTTTCAGGTATTAATAAAGAGTAATGTCCGTAACTTATGCATTTCGCATTATACATATATAAATGTGCATTCTCTTTTCAAGTGTAAAAATTCGATATCTAATATTGATTATAGAAAAATTGTTAATATCGTTTCTATAACGAAATGACGAGAATTTATTGTCTTTCTGATATAATAACGGTAGATATATCAAAGTCTTAGTAAAGCTTTGATTACACTCATACACTAGTGAATAATAGGATTTATTTCCTATATAACGCAGAATTTTATTATCGTATTATAAATATGAATAAATCAGCACGTGGCAGTGAAAAATTATAACTAATGTACTTTATCATTATCAACATATTTTCCTTTCGTATCACTGTATCAGCTGCTCAAAGTCGTTCAGCTGATTCGCAAAAATAAGATACCGCGAAGCGGTGGATTACATAAAACAGAATGAGGAGAAACAGGAAAGACATGAGAAGCTTAATTGCTATATCCTTCTTGTATTTACATTGCAACTGATAGTAAATAAAGAATTCTAGATGAGCATAAATCTGTCACTTTTAAAATAATAATTTGTTAGTTGCGAATTGAATTGTATCTACTCGTTTTGTACAAATAAAGCGGTATAAAACGTTATAGTTATTATAAAATATCGATAGCAATATATTAGTGCAGATAGACTCTGTATCTATGGATATAAAATTGGTTTGTTGCTCGTTTAGCAAGTTACTTTCGTATCTTTCACATGTTACCTCAGATCATTTATGATAAACCATCAAAAAAGTACATGCATTTTAAATACGTTTTACTTTTCGATTTTTGCATATATGCAGAATTCCTCATCAAACCAAATAGCTTTAATCGAAAAGTTGCGTCTTTAATATATTACACAATATTTCGACAACGTTTGATTAGCTGTAATAACAGATTTGCTTTTGATCCTTCATATTTCTAATGTTCTCAAAATATTAGATATATATGAAAAATTTAACGTACATATTTGGCTTTAAATACGACATTTACATCAACGCTATAACCGTTCGTAAGGGATACGAATTTGCGGTATAGATTCTTAGATGCAAATGCGATTCTTCTCTTCAATATCTTTCGAGGTCACCACGAGTAGGAAGTCTATCAGTTCGATCACTGCAAAATAAAAAACATAAAATTAATAGATACTTTCATAAAAATTTTTCTTAAAATTTTTCATATAATTTTTTATAATTTTTATGTAAATTTTAAAATTTTTTAGAGTTCTGTATAATTTTATAACTTTTTAAAGAATTTCTCAGATTTTTTAATATGAATTGGAATATTTTTCAGAAAATCTACATTTCTATAATTTTTCATCAGTAAATTCTGAAATATTCTAAGACTTCTAAAATTTTTCTGATTTCTGAAAGAAACTTGTAAAATCATGAGAGTTTAAAGTATTTTTTTCAGAAATCTTCATAAATTTAAATTTTACAGAACGAAAAATCCATTACAGTGATGCTAATACAGTATATTGTATTTCTTATCTCATATTTTGAGATAAGAAATACAATAAAAAATGAATCATAACAAATCTTATTATTTAAGAAAAAATTAATTATAATTAATTATAATTAATTATAATTAATAAGATTTCAAAAATAGATCTTCGTCTTCTAAAAATTAAAATATGATAAATTTTTAAAAATATTAGAATTGTTTGTTCAGTTAATTAATTTAAAAACAAGTTTACATATTATGCATTAGTAATGAATGTCGAATACATTAATATTTGTAAAAGAATAAAGAAATGATGGAAAGTGACATACCGTAATTTCGCCGTGTTACTTCCAACGTCGGTATTAAGCATTAAATAATTTACAAATTTATTAGCTGTACATATTATGCAAACTCGCAGAAATACATACCCTTTAAAGAATACTGTACATTTGCAGCGTGATTTGATAATAACATGATTTGGTCTAAAGGGAAATATGTATTTCCGACAAGTGAAATTGATAATGTTCTATTCATTTAGCTTAACAAGCTGTTGAGAACGTTAACTGCATCTATGCATAACAGCGTGAAAAGTACACTTTGTTCCTTAATGTCCCTAGTCAAAGCGATCAAATTTTGAAGTATAATTAATAATGAATAACTCGTCATGTCGTACGCGGCAAGATTGGACGCGGGTTTCGGATGAATAATGTTCACCGGCGGCGGTGGTACAAACGCATCGAATCCGTCCGCATCCGCATCTGTGAATACCAGCGAAGATGGTATCCATCTTACTCTGAGCAGCATGCGAAATAAATATCCAATGATGTTCAACGTTACCGCATATAATTTATATTCATATTTCTAAATGAATTGTAGAAATTATTTGAACAATTAATATAATATTTGTTTGAATAATTTCTATTTTCTCTAAATTCTTTGGAGTGAAATTTCACTTTAAAGAGTAAAAAGTGAACTAATCTTTAAAAAAATGACTCAATTTAAAGTCTTTAGAGAAGAATGAACTTTCACTTTTCAGAATGAGATTCACTCTAAAAATTTTAAAATACAATTCATTACATTACTAACATTAGATTACTGACAAGTAATTAAAAATCAAATTTTGTATATCATTTGTTGAGTTAAATGTTATGTTTGTTATAATCTAAACTATTTAAATTTACTAAATAAAAAATAAAAATCTAAAGATCTGTAAGAAGAAATTAACTTCAAATACTAGAAATGATTTTTTTAATATAAATAATATATATTGTATACTATGAAATTACATATTTGGAGAAAAAAATGTTTTTTTTTAATTCTGGTGCAATGTTTACCTGGTGCATGGTGAGACATTTACTCCCCTGATGGCCTTCTCGCCGATGTCGATAGCCCCTGAGTCTTGCACCTCCAGCGTGTAAATGCAACCGGAGAATCCATCGTGGTATTTACCGTAAGTCATTGCATAATCAGGTAAACCACCCAAGTAAACGTTACCCCTTGCATCAAGAATTTGCTGAAGTCCGTCACTGATACCACTTTCGGTATGTTCTCCATTCAGTTCGATGCTACCGTCACTTCTTTGACGTTTCAGGATTATCCTATGCCGTTCTCCGTCATCGACGCGCTGGGCGGTGATGCGAATTACAGCGGGACCAGAGCCCAAGTTGTATTGATATTCCACATATCTGGAAACACAAAAATGATATAAATATACAAAGATTCAAAATGTTTTAAAATTAGAATAGCGGACGGTTCTATTCCTTAAAAAAAAATTTAGTTCTTTAAACGCTCGTGAGAATACTGCTCAATGCAAAATTTTTAATTAGAAAATGCAATTTTTCAATTCAATTGAATTTAAAAAAATAGTGAAAATAGACTATAAATGCTATTAAAGTACGCTCGATATGGTTTACCCATCTACTACAGCAACAGCGATGTAATCATTGGGTATTAGATCGTTCGGCGTTTGACCATGCCACATGATCAATCCGTAACTTTTATTAGTGCTGATCTCGAGACCAAAAACCTCACGTTCTTCTTCGTGCATCATAACAGATCTGTCTAGTTCCAGCCAGCCATCTCCTCTGAAGGCAACATCATACGTAATCTCTGCCACTATAAATATATAATCACATTATTCATAATTATTTTATTTCTATTTTTTAATTATTTTATTATACATTTTAAATATATAATTCTATTAATAATCTAATGTTAATAAACATTTTAATCTGAGAATAATTTATTGTCTCAGCCAGATTCGAACCTTGATCTCCCCATATTTCATGCATACTTCATCATTCGATTATCGATTTCAACAATATAATATAATTAAATCATATTTAATTTATGTTTTTATTATAGTGACATTTTTTGTAACGTATCTTATATAAAGAGATCTATACAAGCGTTACGAAAAATAATTTTCATCTTTTTTTTACGTACACATATATTTTTAAAAATTTAGGAAAATAATTTTTTTTTGCATAATTAATTATAATTTAGATATAATAAATAGTATACATTTTTTTCGTACTTACACTTTTCGCAATTTTGCCCATTATAACCGAGGCGACAATCACATTTGTAGGAGTCATGAAGATCTGTACAAGTACCACCGTTTCTACATGGGGTAAGAAATTCACATTGCTTTTGCATCTTCTCGCAGTTTCTGCCTGCGTATCCGTATTCGCATATACACGAATAATCATCGTTTAAATTTTGACACTGACCATGGATGCAAGGATTCGATGAACAAGGATAATACAACGTTGTTGGCGGTTGCGTGGATGCTGGAGTAGTGATAGTATGAATTATTGTTTGATTCGGATGAGGCTCTGAACAATCTTCGATATTAGCCGCGTCGATTGATGACTTCATTATATCCAAACTAACTGATGAAATTTCAAGCTATAATATAATTTAACAAATACCCATTAAAAATGGAGTTTCTTGTTCTCTATTGCAATGAAATTTGTTAATTATTATATATTTTCATCTTATTGTAATACTTTATGTTATTCCTTATATAGCTTTTCTTTAAGATTTTATTGGAAAGCCCCCATTAATTTAGTTAGATAAAGTAACAAAATATATTAAATATCGGATATTAAAATAAAAAATAGGCTTATTTTATTTTACTAATATTTTTAGAAAAAATGTTTTTTAGATTTCATAGAAAATTTCTGTAGAAAAAATTTTTCATAAAATTTATCATATAATTTTTAACAATTTTTATAAATATGTA